ATAATTAAATTACAGATATTTAAGCTGATTTCTAGGAATGCTTTCGTTGTTCTGAAAACAACAAATCAGTTTACATCAATTTGCTACCTCACAGATTGACGGTTGTTTGTTACTGGGCTTACAAGAAGCCTTCCAACAGGATCAAAACTTGGAAAATAAAAGCATGTGAACTCGGTTGTTTCTCGTTAGGCGGGATTCAAACAATCCTCTACGGATCCAATACCTGAAGCACAATGCACAGCTTCTTCAGTAAGGTCCTTTCCGATTTTTAATCTAATACGTCAATTTGAAGAAGTTTATCACTAATATTCTTTTGTGATGGACACCTGAAATAAACATAGTTTATGTAGCAAAAATTATGAACGGTGACCAATATAAGAAACTGTGTTAACCGGCACAGACTTAATTAAAAACCTGTTTCATCACACCAAATATCACTGATCATTTGCAAATTCTACCCAATTCGTAACTTCCATCGATGTCCAGCAATATTTGGAACGTTCATAGTTCTCCGGGATGAAGCGCCAGTATGTATCATACTGTTCTGACGTTACTTCTAGTGCAACGTTTTCATGTGTCCTATCTACTGACCACACATCATTCCGTATTTCTTTCTGACAATTGGTGGACATATTGCATTCGATTCTCTCGCTCACTTCAGAAATCCATATCTCTTCCAGTCAGCAAAAGAGACTAGGCTCGTTCACGACAAACAGATGCAACATTTCTCAACTACTCTGCTACATAGAATAGATCTCTTCTTACCGGATATTTCATTCAGTTGTCTGATAACCTGTTCAGAAACCTGCCATTCGTGGTAAGTTATCGAACTATTTAAATCGTACTTCGATTTATGTTGGAAAAATTTGTTTGAATTGATCGTTTATTTTATTGCATCAATTGAGCTTCCATGGTTGGTCCGTGAAAGACTTTAATTTTGCATACCAAACAATCCTATTGGTTCACGTTTGTACATAAACGCCTGTGATGCCCTTCCCAAATGGGATTTGTGACCATTGCACTAAGGAAAGTATACCGACGGCATTTTCTGAATAACCGAATTTTGACAGATTAAACAGTTATTTTCAATTTAACTGCGATTCGAAGAGCTCGATACATATACTATGTAACTGGTTTTGTTTATTACCTTCAGAATTTCATAAGAAAACCTTATTGATACACAGAAAGAATGATGTCAGCGTGGTGTTTCACATCGATTTTGATGCCAAGTGTGTTTTCGACAAGCATCATTTCATCTGGACGCATCATTCATAACATCATCCAGACACACATACACACGCACAACCACCTATTCTCTATCCTCTGCAGCCAATTAATGAACCCAAATTGAGCTAGTGGCTATCATTATGTAAGCATTTTTCCACTATATCATGTGTAAGATCATGATTAGGAATATCCAAAAATAATTTTTCGATCACCGACCCGCTTTCTCATAACATCATTTATTAACATTTGATCGTGGAAAATAAAAACTCATTTACAGGGTCGTAGAAGAAATGATAGTTATAAGATGATGGATTTCGCATTCCTTGTGTATCACACATATCACTGAGAAACTTTGAAAGTCGTGTGCAGTAACTGTGATGATCCGTTGGTAACGTCACCAAATGATCATCCCGGGGATGTGTTCGAACGCCACCACCACCGCGTGACTTCCCCCATTGTGTATTGTATGGCAGTCCTTTGATTGGCCGCTTCCCCTTCCTGGAATTTGTATCGTTATATATTCAATAAAAGGAAGTCAAAATAAAAACAAAAACTGTGACCTTGTGAAAGGCACTGCCAGATATGCATTTCCATAAATCGTATACTGTGTTATGTTCACGCGAGAACGATGATGAGTTCTACAAGTTATCGCTTAAACCCCTGAACTGGGTCTAGCGGTTCTTTTCACGTATAAGCTACACCCTAATGGCCATGAAGGTTTCTCATATTTGAAGATTTACTCCTTGATACATTTCTTCTTTCAGCAGGACTCTACTGATGTTGTGAGTAGCATGTCTGGATTGGGTGTTTCTCCCAAAAGTCAAAAAATAAACAATACCCGCTACAGCGAATTACTGTGTTCAAAACGTAACTATGGAAAATTCGCATCCACCGTCGAACAGTTCCACTGATCATCCTGTGTGCTTGTGGAAACTCTGAAGACCTGTTGAAACATTGAGACATTTTTTGTATGTATGCCGATTTACCGTTACGGTTGTTCGTAATAAATAACTATCCTTGTCCTGGCGCTGTTGTGTGGAATTATAACAGTTGGTGTCGTCTCCAGGATCATGATGAAGGTTCCATGGTTCGCAGCTTTCGAGGATAGGGACGTGCGGACTTTCCGGGAGGAATTCTAGGACGTCTTGGAGCCGCTCTGTAGAAGTATAGCACACTAGGACTGAGTGAGCGTTTTACGTCTCCGTAAAATTCCTTTCTGATGGTCATATTATATTTCATATTATATTTCATGACAGCCCAAACGTTTTTGCAACAACAACAACCAAGCTCACTGACAATCCGCATTACACACCTTAAGCGTCCGTCCAAATCGGCCACACCATTCGCATTGATTCTGGTGACATAGATACCGGAATCCATATCTGAGATGGGTGCATCGACTCCGCCCGCAATGCTAAATCCGAAACCGCCCGGCGAATTTGTTTCTCGTTTCAACACCACTTCCAGATATTCCCATTCCGGTTGGATCACAGTTGGTTCATCTGAAAATTGACAGCAAATGCGGAGAAAGTATATGTATCACCCAGGTTGTTCAATCGTCACGTCATCCGAAAAGTTTGATAAACTATTCTTTACTAAAATTGTCTTCAAAATCAGCAAGTTCGTGTTGTGTTAATCGTAGCATTCTTTCAAATCTTATTCAATGTAGGTAGCTTCTAGCGCAGTACACTCCTTTCTCATTTGTATTTGGCGATGAAGATGAAGAACCGATAAGAACCTATCCACTAAACTTCATCTTTATTAATTCTTTCACGTGTTTGTTGTGAACCGGAAGCAAAAATATCAACCACGCTGTCATTAGCTCCAGCACAATTAGAGCTCAAAGCGTATCGCAGAAGTCAATTTCTGGGGCACGGATATCCCTATTCCATGCAGCGAACCGCCGAGTTTGCCGATTAGTGCCCTTATATTGAGCCAAACGAATCGAAGGTTGAAATGAAGGTTATTGTCTACAATTACCATGATTTTTATGTATGCTTTCCCAGCCTAAGTGGTTTCTCAAATAGTGGAATGGAAGTAGAAAATCCCAGACAGATTACTGTTAAGCAGAAGGAAGTCTTGCGGACTGAAGTATATGCTTTGAGGTGAAAAGGTTACCTTGGTAATCCGTGAAGTAATTAGGAGCAGAATTTGTGGTATATATGTAAACACCTAAGTTTCCTTTGTCGCTTTCATTAGCATCTTACCCACCTAAAAACATCCAATCATAGTAAGCGTTCATAAATGGACTGATTCCAAAAGGCCAGTTTGTATTTAAACACCCGGAGTTACAAATTATATGCTTGCGAAGAATATACACACATACTGAGTACAAACAGTAGATGACCGGACACGCATACCTGTCGATCCGAAACAATCTCAAAACCGGGGGCGTGCTTCCGAAAAAGTTCTATCGAGTCATTCAGGTTTTACTTATTGTAGTATGTGTGCACACCAATCTTTACAGATCAAGAAAGTTCTCAAAAAACTAAAGTTTAGACCAACTAGTTGCATACGCTTGTATCAGAATTTCATATGAAGATCACTCTCTGTCGATCGCTTCATTATTCTACCAGATAGTTGTAGTTTTTCAAGAAATCTGCTTTCCCATACACGAGAATTTTGTCACACAGAGTGCACAGCGAAAGCCTTGTATCAATGTTCTTTTTTACGAATGGATGATTTGAACCTTGACAGCTACTTATCCAGTTACTTTTAGGTGCTCCGTGCAACCCGAAACTGAATAATTATGCGATGTTTACGGTACAAAACATTAGATCATGCGCCTGGTGTACACATTCACGCATTCATATTCATTTGATAAAATGAGAATCTAGTGAAGAACATGTAGGAAATACTACCCTAACCCCGGTTGACTCTTACATTTGAGAGTATATCTCTCGTGTTTGCACAACACTGTAGGAATTGCAGGACAGTAAAATGTCGATTCACTGAAACACTTTATACGTCTCAGCTAATTTTAATATGGTTTAGCCCGCCGATTGAGTTGCTCACCGGAGTATTGACGCCATCGGTTGGAAAGAGGCTTTTGGGGACACGTGGGATAGCTGAGTATCAGGATGGATGCCTCTGGGGGCATTACAGCTCTCTGATCAGTAATATTAATTCTCATCATCATCCCATATAAGTTTCTGGACTGCGTAGCTGTATTAGGAGATTCACTCACGGTTATGCACCCAATGACTGGCAAATACAACGTGTGGGAAGCACTATGTGAATCTGGATAAATATCAAAAACGTTGCTTTACCCCTGTCAGGGGGAGTCTAACCTTCTCCTGAGAATTCTCACTGTGTGAATCAGAACCGGATTGGGACCAATCGCGACCGTGTGAACGTGTCAACATTTTCTCGGTTGTACTGGATACGTGGGCGTCAGAGTAAAAGTGCAGAATTCGATGATCGAATTTCTAGCATATATATATATTTACACGACATAGCACAACCCATCTTTGCGAGCTTGTTGCGGGCCACAGACCCTGCTCATCTCAGCACCAGCCTCCGGGTTATGGCTCCTTTGGGATCATTCACAGCCTGACTACTTATTTTGATGGATTCACACCGCTGATGAGACCCAACCAGATCGAAACAGCTGTCTAGTCCTTCCTAGCTTTTCAGTTCACGCTTCGTTTACTATATACACGATGAATACACCTTTGAAATTGAACCAAATCCTCTGTTACTCACTTGAGAAATATATAATCACCAACCTGTGAGCAAGCTTGGTGTCAATGCAAAAACAAGAATAATAGAACATGGGGTTTTGGGTATAAAGCAGAGAAAAAGGAGGTCAGACAGTTCAGGTGAAGAACCAGAGTACAGAACATGAACACCGAAAATCCGCTAGAAATATTTCCGCCTACATTCCTAATATGAGTTGGTCGCTTCCTATGGCGCCTAACCAGCAAGCTGCCAAAAGAATCACTCTATCCTTCCACGTACCTAGTCTGGAGCTGCCGGCTCAGAGAACCAGCTCCCAATTTGGGTGAAGTTTGACAGAGCACACGTAAGCCGCAATGTAAAGAGTACTATTAAAGGACTCTAAATGAACCATCAACTGCGCTGACCTCGTCACCAACCTCTGCACATACAAAGCTGTCCAGAAAACCGGAGCATCGTCCAGAAAAAGATAGTGGTGGAACAGTGCAAACAATCCGTCCTTAACAGTCTCTCACTTGACCAAATAATTTGAACTGTTAGAGGCTGATTACTTATTGCAAACGGTTTGCATATCCTCACTTGTCTGGCCACTTTCAGCAATATTAAATAAACAGTGAAAATGGTGATTCTTTGTTACACTTCATCAATGGTGAGTTTGAATGAAAACAACTGGCACTCAGAGGGGACCAAGTTGAATTTTCTAAGAATACATGTTAACAAAATATTAAAAATTGGTTCTCGTAGCTCGGGTGAACCGAATGCCATTTCGCCTGCTCGCCGAGCTTGGCAA